TGTGTTCAAAAACAAGAAAGAGTGAAATAGGTGTCCAAGATTCATCATCTTCATCTTCAACATCTCACAACATTTCAATTACACACAATCTTTTTTGAAATGCATTTGTGAGAGATTCAAGGTGATAAGGTTCGAGGCTTAGATTGGAGAATCAAGCTCGGGTTGAAGATTGTGACAGGTTCTTTCTTGAATAAAACCATTGGGGTTTTACCCTCCAAGATTGGTTCGAATTTTGGGGGTTTTTGGACGAGATTCTTCATCAACGGTCAATCGAGCGAAGGTGATTGTGAAGAGGTGGTCTTCACAAGTCTAGTAGCGGATTCAGTGATTTTGAAGGGAAGATCTCGGGTTCGATTTGGTGCTGTTGAGATCAGCCGGAGCCAAAGGTTTGAACAACAACGTGTTATTCAATAAGGTGGCTGGAGTCGGAGGTCCATCAACACAAATCGAAGAACATGATTCAGTTTGAATCAAGGGGCAAGGAGTGAAGGCAACTTTCAACACATTGAGATTTCTGTTGTATATTTGTTGCTCAATCCTTGTATAAACTGTTCATTCAAACAGGTGATATCTATAAAATATATCTCAATTCTAGTTTTAGAATTAAGGGCAAACGTACCCCGAAGCGAGGACGATGGGGGAACTGCCTCACAAAATTACTTGTCTTCTCTATTTTCAGCATTTACGTTATAGCTCAAAATAAGTCATTTGTGTGTAAGCTCTATTGTCAAAATTGTGATATCAATTGAGTAAGAGGTTAAAACTCTGTTTTTAACTCCAAAGTACAACAAGACATTGTACTAGGCTGGTTGAAATCACTTACTCAACATAAATATCACTTGGAGTGTTTTTGCACACCAAGTGTTTGACATATTGCTTGAACCAAAATTATCTTACTTGTGTATCTAGTTTTGGTTTGATTTTGAATCATTGGAACTAGGAATCCTTACAACTGAAGTAAATAATTGATAAGTGGAATTAGTGTTGTGATTCTATTTTTCCAAATTGTCATTAATCCAAAGGCTTACGTATATCCGGTTTTCCAATAACCGTTCGTTTTAGACTATATTTTCCTCGGCCGCTTCCGCACTTAAGACATTTTTAAAACCAATTTTAAATTGGTAGCGCCGACTCAAACTTTAATTGGGGATCTATTCAACCCCCCCTTCTAGATCCGTGCCATAGTCTAAGAAATATTACATCACCAATAAGGGCGCGCAGGCCCGAAAAAGAAAACAACAAAATACAAAGTAGTTGCACGCAGGCCAGGATACGCGGGCACGCAGACCCGGGACTAATCTATGCTCCTTCCTCTTCCTCCGCTTCAGGCTCAACGAAAGGGACGACAGGGCCAGTATCCTTGGCGCTCGGGTCGACCACCCGACCATCGAAGTAAGAATCTCTCCCCGGGGAATTCATCGAAACAAGCGTCCTTCCCCAAGACATTCATCAGAACTAGCATCTCTCCTTGGGACGCTCATGATAAACACCCTAGAAAACCCCTCTACAACGGCGAAGATCTTCACCTCTCCTCGGGGCATTCAAACTGCCCGACCACAGTCGTAAAACAAACAAGAAAACGAAAGAAAGAAGAAAGAAAACTTACTGCGAAACGATTTGCGGCGGAGTACGTGGCGGCGGAGAAATCAAACGGTGACGGGATAGCAAAGCAGAAAACTTGAGAGCAAGAGGGCGAAAAGTGAAGAATGAGCAGGGGCTCGTTTACTTATACCCCAACACGGGACTCGAAGCATCGCTAGGCACTCGAGTACCCTAGGGTAGCCGCCCTAGAAGCCACCCAGCACGTGACACGTGGCGAAAGCTGACAGTCGCGTCCCCTCACATTTCTTCGCCAACACATGTCCTCAAGCCCGGGAAACCGACGACGTGGAAGGGAACACGAGCTAGAGGGTTTTTCCTCGGTCCAATTCCCTTCCCCAGAACAACGTCATAAAGTCCTCGCTCCCTTCCTCGGAGCTACGACTTGGGGGGCTCCTGTTCTGGCCTGGGCCCCGGCCTGGCCACGCAGGCCTAGCCCAATAATATTCCGCCAAGCCCAGTCCAGCTTGGGCCACAACGTCGGGCACAGGGTCCCCGACGAGCAGGAAATGTCCCCCGCGGGCAGGACCTACCCCAACTACGTTGGACATGAGACTCCCCTTTCGACCAAACACTGCCCTTTCCGCGGGCAGGACCTGCCCTCCACGGGGAGAACCCGTCCCCTGTCGGGCAGGACAACGTGTCCCTCACACGTTCTCCACGTGCTCCCCTCCGCGGGGACACGTCACCGACCAACCGCCCACCTCCGAAAGAGCAGGTTCAACCCAATTTCCGGAGATCACAGGACAGTTGGACTAGGGCGAAGGCCACGTCCTGACCTTCACTACGCCACGTAAGCCCTGGCAGTCACCTAGGTTGGGCCTGGCAATCCAGCCCAACACAAGTGACCGTTGGCTCAACGCTGGGGTCTCTCTATAAATACCATCTTTCACAAGAGGGTTAGGTAATTCACTTCTTACCCTTTTTCTGTACTTGTGATCACTCTGTCCTTATACTTACTTTGGCATCGGAGTGCCTTGCAGGTACACCCCCTCCTCCTCATCACCGGTGAACAGGCAGCAGTCCAACAGAGTGTGGCCAGCTAGTGATCCCCTTCTGATCAGGTCAGATCAGTTATTGTTATTTTTTAACAAAGTGAATGAGATAATTGTTGATGCAATTATTTTAAATAATATGAAAAAGATGAAGTGCAACTAAAAATATAACAGTCACATGTTTTTAAATATTTAAAATATGAAAAAAAGAATGTAGAAACGATTTTAAAGAACCAAATTGTTAAAAAAATATTATAGGACAATTTTTACACAAAAATAACTTTAAAAAATCTTATAATTTTGTCTATTTTATTAAAAGACGGTTCGGTCGTAAATTTAACCAATTAACCTCAATAAATTTTAAACCAAAAATTTGTCTTTTCGATCTTCAATCCAATTTTTAAAACATTACCATTAAAATCCAACAACAATTCATAAAAGCCAACTAGGGAAATTATAATAGTCAATAGATTAACAAGACAAATTAATTATATTTTGAAGATGTATAACAAAGTTACTATGTCTATGGTGTAAATAAATGATTTTTCAAAAATTTTTTTTTAATTAAAATCGTAAATAATTAGTGTACATGTACGGGAAAAACATAATTCCAATAAAGCTGGTAGTTGTATTTTCATCAAACTATATCCAATCTCATTAAAAATAAACATGAATATACACATTTCCACCTACTATACTATACAATAGATTGAATTAATTAAAAAATGTAAATATCCAGGGTGGCATTACTCTGAAAACAATATTAGTAGTAAAATAAAAAGGTGAAGTTATGCGTAAGGAAGTGAACAAATGAGGTATGATATTATTGGGAAGTAGCAGCATAGTGATGAATTATGAATGAGAAGAGAAAGAGAGAAATGAAAAACAGAGAGGTGGGTCTGAAAAATGTCCTTTGGTAGAAAGGCACAAGTTAAGGCCTGAGTGAGAGAAATGGCCACGTAAGGTTTCTCTCTTTAAGACGAGTCTGCAGGAAACACTGACTCTTGTGTGAATCAGTGACCACAACGAATATATTCTTGCCTAATATTTTCAGACAAATTTATTGTCTTCAACCAACACATCTCATACTTAAAAAGCAAACTAGTAAAAATTATCATATTATGTAAAAAAAAATTATACCGTTACACAATTACAATTAAACCTTAAAAAATATTTAATATTTATTATATTTATTCTTGTCCGCAATTTATTTTTTCTAGATATTTTATAGTTTTGAAATAGAAATAAATGTAGTATTTTATTTTGAAATGTAAAATAAAAGTTGATTAAATATTTTCATATATTTTATTTTTCTTTGATTTAAATATGGTTTTCTTTTACCAAATCATGCTTATATATGAGGGGAGTATTATATTAATTTTATTTATTTTTTGCATCTTTTTTTATTAAAAAAAATGAAAATACCTATATTTTTCTAATTCTAAGAAAAAACTTACATTTTCTATTGGTTTTTACTTTTTTTATATTCAATTAGTTTTCATGTAAAGAATTATTGTTGTTAGATTTTAATTATTTTTCTAAATATCTATTTACATTCATTTATAAACAAAAGTCAAACAATTAAAATTAAAATATTAAATATATTATTTAGAATTTAATTAATATACATTTACAATGTAAAATAATTTTAATTTATCATACATGTAATATTTAAAATTACATGATAATAATTTATTGACAGGTCATATTTCATTTTTTTTTATCATTTATACTTATTTTACTTAATTAAATGTGTCAGCTGAATTATATTACACTTTTTTATATAAAAAGTTTATTCGATACACCTATAATTTTTTTATATGGGTAATTATATATTCATTGAATTATTAAAAGCATTTAGTTTTATTTTTTTTGACAAAAATTTATTTCACTTTAAATAAAATCATATTAAAATTAAATAAATATTAATTTAGATCTGATTTAATTTATTACTATTGAATTAAAATCTATAATAACAAAAAGTAATTATGTAAAGATTAAAATATATTTAAAATAGGATAAGATCAAATTAAAAATAGAATTAGAATTAAATAAAATTAAAAAGATAAAACAAAAACTTAATATTCCTTTTATAGTTAAATAAACATAGTATATGTATTAAAAAAATTAATTAATTATAAATGTTTTGGATTTGTTGTTTTGTGATATGATTAGTGTATTGCTGTAACCCTCTATATATCTCTTGTCTTGATAACCCCATTTAAACCTCAGATTTTGTCATCACTTCTCATTATAACCATCATCATCACTCTTGCATAATCATCACTTTCTTTCTTCCAAACAACACCATTATCCCTTTCCTTTGTTTTTTTCCATTTTGTTTCATTTCCCCTTCCAACCCTACAACATCAACAAAACCCTAATCTCTCTCTCTCTCTACAAGACATGGACATGACCTCAAGAAACATAGATGTTGATTCTCAGACACCACCTTCGATTCCTCCACAACCCAACAACAATAACAGCATAACACCAACAACAACCTTAAAGTCCTCACCTTTCACTAACGGCACACACAAACGCCACCATACAACCACCACAACCACCACTCCACCACCGTCATCCACGGTGGTTTCTTACAAAGAATGTCTCAAAAACCATGCTGCGTCTCTAGGTGGACATGCACTTGATGGATGTGGAGAATTCATGCCTTCACAATCCGTTAATCCAAATGAACCTAGATCCCTCAAATGTGCTGCTTGTGGTTGTCACCGGAATTTCCACCGCCGTGAACCTCAAGAACAGCATATCACCACCAACACCACCAACGCCAACGCCACCATCAACACCACCACCAACGCCACCACAAACCCCACTTTTCTTAACTGCATCTACACTCCACCATCAACAACCGTTCCACCACCACAACCACCACCACCATTACAACTACCACACCGTGGCCCGATTAGTCAAAGCACAAGCCCAAGTCAAAGCACAAGCCCAACCTCAAGCCCAAGCCCAACTTCAAGCCCGTCCTCTCCACCACCACTCTCACATTTACCACCTTATCATCATCGCTCTTCAGCCCCTCACATGCTGCTAGCACTTGGAAATGCTTATTCAACACCACCACAATCTGACCATGATCAACATCAACACCAACACCAACAACCCCATCAAAGAAATCTCAATTTTTCTTCATCAGTGATTAAACTCGACAACACAAACAATAACAGCAACAACTCAAGCGGTGGGAAAAAGAGGTACAGGACAAAATTCAGCAAGGAGCAGAAAGATATGATGTATGGTTTTTCTGAGAAACTGGGTTGGAGAATGCAAAAGGGTGATGACGGAATTGTTCAGAAATTCTGCAATGACATTGGTGTTTCAAGAGGGGTTTTCAAAGTTTGGATGCACAATAACAAGAATTTGAGGAAGAGACCAGAATCTGAGGTTGGAATTGCAACTCCTATAAGCAATAATAAGAACAACAACAATAATGATGGATCCAACAATGTCATTCATATGGATGAAGATGGATGTGTTAATGTTCATGTTTCTTCTGTTAATGTTTTGCCCTCTAATTAGTTTTTTCCTTTTTCCAGAAAATTAATTAGATAAATTATGGGAATCAAGGTGGTAGAGATTTTATTTTTACCATGATTAGTGGTCATTTTTGTTTATTACCATGGTTTTTAGTTTCTTCATCTTTTTAATATAAGGTTTTAATTTTGCCTAATGTTATATATTTTTATGTGTGTGATAAACATGAATGCGATGGAGGCCACATCTTTTTATTTAAGTGAAGTATATAATCAATATCAAAGAAAGGCCTTGTTTATATTTATCTATATTTGCAATGGTTAATAACATGGTTTCAAATTACGATTTGTGGTTGTTGAGGCGAAAACATAATACTCCAAATAACGATTTGTGGTTGTTGAGGCGAAAACATAATACTCCGTGAGGGAATGATATATTTTTTTAAAATACCTTTATTATCTATTAAAAATGATGAAAGTCTTTTAATTAAAATTAAAAAAGATGGATTGATAATTAAAATAAATTACTTATATTGGGACATTCATTTATTTTAAATAGATAATTTATTGTGCCATTCTTTTATTAATTTTAATAATAAATAGATAATTTATTGTGACATTTTCTTTATTAATTTTAATCTATAATCTTTTGCGGGGAGAGAGTATCGGCAAACATCTTTCATTTCCTTTATTAATTTTAATCTATAAAGAGTACATCTTTCATTTCCTTTATTAATTTTAATCTATAAAGAGTATCTGTTAACATCTTTCATTTCCTTTATTAATTTTTATCTATAAAGAGTATCTGTTAACATCTTTCATTTCCTTTATTAATTTTACCGTTGTGGTGTTATGATACTGTGATTTCTGATCACATTGCAATTACAGCTAATGCGGATGTGAATACTAATACAACCATTTTTTATTGTGTGATTTACGGCTAATGAGGATGCGGATGTGAATACTAATACAACCATTTTTTATTGTGTGATTTACGGTTAATGAGGATGCGGATGTGAATACTAATACAACCATTTTTTATTGTGTGATTTACTCTAATGCGGATGTGAATACTAATACAACCATTTTTTATTGTGTGATTTATTGCTAATGCGGATGTAAATACTAATACAATTATTTTTTATTGTGTGATTTATTGCTAATGCGGATGTGAATACTAATACAACCATTTTTTATTGTGTGATTTATTGCTAATGCGGATGTAAATACTAATACAATTATTTTTTATTGTGTGATTTATTGGTAATGCGGATGTGAATACTAATACAACCATTTTTTATTGTGTGATTTACTATCGCATTGCAATTGCGGCTAATTTGGATGTAAACTAATCCAACCACTTTTTATTGTGCGGCTAATGCGGATGTGAATATTAATACAACCACTTTTTATTGTGTTTTATGATCACACTTCAATCGCAAATGTGAATACTAATACAACCACTTTTTATTGTGTTTTATGATCACATCCCAATTACGGTTTAATGTTGATACAGATACTATTGTGAACTGATATTGTCCACAATTTAAAATCGTCCACAATTTAAAAGCATGGTTAAAAGATATCCTTAAGAGAGGTAATTTCTTTTAATTGAGATTAATACTACATTAGATGCCTTTTTGAGTACAACAATTTTAAACTTTGGAAAAAAAATCAGTCTAACTCTCAATTAAAATTTTACTTTACAAAATTTATTTCAGCTCATAATAGACTACGAATTTAATTAGTATCATACCAAACCACACGTTACATATGATCAGCAAGGTATTCCTTTCATACATGGCTAGTTCTAATAATAGTTGTCACATTTTCCTCTTGAAAGCGTTAAAATATTAATTACACATCTAACTACTTTTGCTGAAAGAATCCACCTCTCAAATTGCCCATACTTATTTGTGCAACACACAAAACTTTATCAAATTATGGGTTGGAACTTATCTGCAAATTTGTCTTTATTCATTTATAAGCCTCTCCCACTTTTACAGGATTCTGTACTCAAAAGATAATGATAATCCATAAACATTGCGTAACATATATAGCATTAAACTAATGTAGTTTATTTTATGATATGGTTTTGTTTTTGTTAGTGTGTGGTCCTCGAGAATTTTTCACCAAAGGAAGAAAAGGAAAGAACCCATTAATAATGTGGAAAATGACATCAGTAGTACCAATTTGCCAATTTTTGTGTTTGTTATTATCTTCTTAATTGAGTTAATTCTTTTTGAAAACCGTGCAAGGGTGTATTTTTGGTATGAAAAGGAATCAAGGATAATGTTTTGGAATTAGAAGATGGCGTTGAGATCATGTGAATTGTATATGGTCGTGTTTGTTTATTATTATAATTTATAAACATTATTATATAATTTGAGAATTGTAAATAGCCAATCAAAATATAATATAGAATTGAAAATGTTAATGTTTCTCGATAATTAATTTGAGAATTATATTTAATATATAATCTTATTATTAATATATTAATACTGCAATTATATTTATTTGTAATTCATATATAATACATATTAATATTTTAATTATTTAATTTATTAAATAATAAGTTTATAAAATATAACAACTATTAATATTAAAATTATTTAGTTTATTAAATAATTAGTTTATAAAAAATTTCAATTATTTAATATTTCAACTACTAATATTTTAATTATTTAGTTTATTAAATAAATAATTTATGAAATATTTTAATTATTTAATATTTCAATTATTTTAGTTTAAAATCTTTAATATTTCATAAAATAATTATTTAGAAAATAAAATAATTGAATACATAAGTATAAAATAAAAATAAAAACAAAATATTACTTAATTAAAAAATAAAAATAAAAATAAAATAAAATATTAAATAATTACTAAATAATATAAAATAAAAAATTAATTAATTAAATACATAAGTATTAATATAAAACAAAAATTACTTAATTAAACACATAAGTATTAATATGAAATAAAAATTAATTTATTAAATAATACGAAATATTAATACTTAAGCATTTAGTGGATCATTAAGTAATTTATAGTTGAAATAAATTAAATAATGTTATTAAATATTAAATAATTTATTAAATACTGAATTACTTATAAAATATATATTCATGTTGCAATGTTATTATCAAGTGGAATGGTTGGCTTAGTGGAAAGATAATTATTTGCAATTGGAAGGGTTATGGGTTCAATCTTTATTGAACCCGCTAACTTACAGAGATCTAAGGTAATTGGTGTCAATTTTTCCTAAGGATTGTCACTCTATATAAACTCTTTCAATACTTTATCTCTAACTAATGCAGTGCATTGTGCAGATTGTCGTTCGATTGAATTTGAGGGTCAGAGATAGGTTATATATAGGATCACATGCTTCGTCTTGGTTAAGGTTTTACCTATTCCTACTTATTGTCTGCACCTTTCATGTTGGGTCCCATGATTACGCCTTATTCCCGGGCCTTGTGAGCAACCCATAACAGTTCCCCCCAAACCCTTGGTTCTACTTGTTGAAGCAGGGGTTGTATGGTCTAGGCTACAACTGACCTTCTTTTGGTTTTTTGAGATGGTCTTCTGTTGAAGAAGGTAGAAAAATTTCAAGGTGAAGCTAGTTCTATGAGTACGTGAGTGTTTGAGTAGATCAAGGTGAAATCCTAATCATTGGTGGCAAGTTTGTAATTTTTGGTGCTACCCAACGTTGATCATGCGGTGTCTGTATCTGGGATATATAAATGGATGAAGGGTAACTTTTCCCTTTTTTTCCACTCATGAGTTATGAGAATTATTTCTTCGCTTTTTTGCAGTTGTTTCTAATCTCTACAAACACTTTTTATTGCTTGTTGTTCTGACATCTTTACAGTGCCTTTCTAGTGGATTTCCTTTTTGTATTATATCAAGGTCACCTTTTTTAAGTAAGAACCAAATTTTCTTTCTCTTTTGCATTTGTTTACCCTTTGCCAAGGTTTTTTTTGGGGAGATTGTAATGGAAGATTTGAAGGAAAGAGTTGAGGTTGGAAATGGAAGGATGGTTGGTAGCCTTGATCTCATGGAGCTTTCTATGGGTTTCTTTTTTTTTTTTGTGTTTTACCTCTAATGAACCCAATTATTGTGGATGACTTCAAGCAGAAATGCAAAGCCCAGACTCACAACAGAGCGCATCATCGTGATTTTGGTTGGGACCCCATAGATAATGAAGTAATGTGGTGGTTAAAATATAAATCTCGTGCTCATACTTAAGGTCATTCTTTTTTTTTTTGACAGTAACCTTATAACGAGCCATCACACTCATCAACAAACCCTGAAATATGAAGGAGGACAATTCTCATGAGTGGGTAAATAAGGATATGTTAGACATCATGTCTATGCTTTCACCAAGGTGTGTTCTCCTTCGGACTAGGGTGTGCTTACTTTCAAAGTATATAAGAGAGTATGAATTAAGTTTGAGGGGTGCATTATCCCTCTTCAAGAGTTTTTGTTTTCCCTAATATGCCACAGTCTTCCTTTCAATGACTTTGAGGTGGGCGTACTTAATTATTTGGAATTTTCTCCTAAGTATCTATGTGCGCTCAAGAATAATCATGGAGTGATCGAATATGTTAAAGCTCATAGATAGAAAGACTCAAGAGTCAAATTATTAGCCTTGATGATGACATGGTTTTGTGATTATAACACTTGAAATTGCTTTGATGATAACAATGATTTAAGTAAAGAAACTACTAATATTAGCTCAAATAGTCAAAGACGCACAAGGTGGTTGTCAGGTTATCCTTCCGAATCAAGTGAAAAATTTGTGTTTAAAGACTTAGGATTTATAATCATTGGTAATCACATATGAAGTCAAATATAATTCAAAGACTTGAAGCTTGAGAATGTGAAAGAGATGAAGTGTGAAAGCTTGTCTAATTGTGTTAGTCTCAGTGATCAATGTATTATAAAGATACAAAGACATTTATGGAATGTAGTATCAATAAATCATAGACAAACCTACTTAAAACAAAAAATGCCTCTCATTTTTTAAATTAAAACAAAAAAAAA